AAAAAAAAAAAAAAAAAAAAAAAAAAAAAAAAAAAAACATGGACTTATTCAGAAAGTCATAGTCTATAGGGGATCCCCCTGCCCGTAACAACGCAGTTTTAGGATTATCCAGGGAGATGACCATAGAGTGTCAGAGGTAGTATCAAAACTGGAGGATCTCTCTGCACTCTCCCTCCACAAGGTCTCTCTGTCTCTGTCTCTGTCTCTGTCTCTGTCTCTCTCTCTCTCTCTCTCTCTCTTCTTAATAAAGCTCTAAAAGGTTTAAAAAAAACTGGAGGGAAGTGGGTGCTAAAAATGAGAACTCCAGATTTTGTGTTTCTTTTGTTTGCTCCCCCATTACCCTGCGTATCTAGGCTGGGAAGTGGTAAAGGTTCTTAACCCCAACACCATCCTTCGGAGAACCCCTGAGGATGCTGGGAGTGCTATGTCCTCTGAGGGCCACCACACTTACATACCCGTGCTCACACCCATGCACATACACATTGTTAAAAGAATAAAAAAATGAACCTTCTTAGAAAGATCTATGTTCATGATATTGCAAAACAAAATTTCACTTTGTTCAGATTTCCCACAGGATTGCTGCCTGCCCTATAACCCCCATTCGGGATTGTTGAATTGCCTGCTGACGGCCTGCTCATCCCTCGAAACTCGATTTAAATGTCACCAAAAATTAATTACTGGATTTTTAAAAATAATTTACTTATTTATATGTGCCTTGGTGCCGTGCCTGCATGTATGTCAGAGGGTGTCAGATCCCCTGGCACAGGGCTACAGACAGTTGTGAGCTGTCATGCAGGTGCTGGGAATTGAACCCAGGACTTCTGGAAGAGCAGCTGGTGCTCCTAACCGCTGAGCCATCTCTCCAGCCCCTCTGTGTTTGCAGCACACATTTGTTCTCACTGAAAATACAACTGCTTGCTTGTCTTGAGGAGACCCAGCTTTACGTAGGCTGTGCGGTCTATGGCCACCTAAGACCAAAGGACTTTCCCTTGTCACATGCTGGGTGACAAGGACCCAACTAGGGGATCAGAGTCTGGCTTGCAGCTCCACTTGTGGGCATAGCTCTGTGACTGTGACTAGGTTCCACCAGAGCTCTAAGCCCTCGTTTCTTGGTCTGTAAAATGGGAGCACAGCAAACCTTGCAAAACTCATGGAATTTTTTTTTTTTTTTTTTTTTTAGAGATCAGTAGGCAATAGGGGGCAGCAGTTTCCCACTTTAGGTGACAAGAGAGGTAGAGCTGTGGTGACAGTGTCTTACAGAGATGAAGTCTCTCAACCTTGGCCAATGTTCCTCCACCTTCCAGCCCCACACAGCACCCCACCCCCCACCCCCACCCCACCCCGCCTTTCCCCCAGCAGATCAGCTCTTTAGAAAAGCGCCCAAGGGCAAATTTGTTTTCATGTAGACATTCAACATTAATTTTTAATTTGGAAGAGATTAAATGCTATTCTAACATCACCCAGCCACCCAGCCAGGATTTCAAATAGGAAATTTTAATATCTAGGGAAAACACAACAAACCGTAGGTTGTAGGTTTATTGTATAAGCCAGGTGTCCAAATACAAATGCCTTCAGAAATCAGGCAATTTGGTCTAGGTAATGAGAAGGGCTGCGGCAGCCCAGGCTGGTTTCAAACTTGAAGAGCAACCCTCCTGTTTCAGCTTCCCAAGGGCTAGAAATATAGGCATGAGCCCACCACTCTAAGCTCTCAATTCCTGGTGGTTGTTGGATTGTTTGAAACTCACTGCTATATACCAGGCTGGCCTTGAACTCACAGAGATATTCTTGCCCCTGCCTCCCGAGTGCCAGATTAAAGCCATGCACCACCATGCTCAGCCTCTCCTTTGTGTTTGCTGAATGAACTTCTCAACCTCGTGCTTGTGAAAGTCACCATACCATTGCATAACGGAATCCTTTTTCACTGCTGTGTAGTACTTCACTGGATGAATTTATCAATCCCTTCTGCCGACAACAGAAATTCCACTTATGTCCATCTTTGCACCATTCTGAGTAAAGCTGCTGCTGGCGTTCTTCTCTCACTCCCGTTATGGTTAAGCTGCAACCTAAGAGTTAAATTTCTTGGTCTCAGAGCAATAAAGTATTTAGACTGGCCAGCTTTGCACTCCAGTCAGCAGGGATTGAGGCTCTGACCTTGGCCTTCTGGAACTGACTACTGAATCTTGGGTCTGAAATGCGAGGATGTGAGATGAAGGAGGCTGAAGACGGAGGGAGCGCCCCCAACCTTCCCTGCAGCCCCTGGAGAGCGACAGGAAGCCCGGAGGAGATTTGTCAGACACCAGGGCGATGAAGTTGTTGGAATTTCTGCCCTTCCAGTCGGAGGAAGGGGGAGGAAGGAGAAGAGGAGGAACATCAGGAGACGTGGGAGGGAAGAGGAGGAGGAGGGCAAGGCAGGTAGCAGAAGATGAGGAGGAGGTAGAGAAGAGCGAAGGGGGAGGCGCGGGAAGGAGGGGGAGGACAGGGTAGGAAAGAGAAGGGCTGCGGGGCGGCAGCAGTTGCCAGGGGCTGTGAGGAGGGCGTGGTGAGTGGGAGTGGGAGATTATTTCAGCTCGAGCCTATTCCTGGTCTCCTGCTGCTGCTGCTGCTGCTAATGCTGCTGCTGCTGCTGCTAATGCTGCTAATGCTAATGCTGCTGCTGCTGCTAATGCTGCTGCTGCTGCTGCTGCTGCTGCTGCTGCTGCTGCTGCTGCTAATGCTGCTGCTGCTGCTGCTGCTGGTTGAGCGCCGCCGTCCACGCTGGAAAAACCACCGCGGCTGCAGCCCTCCCGCCACCGTCAGGCCCCACGGTCGCCTTGCCAGCCCTTCTCCGGTCTCTCAGACCCCTGTGGCCAGAGTTTCCAGGAAGCAGTGACTTCTCCTTCCGCGGAACCACTGCTCCCCTTGGGCTTGCCTGCTCGCAGGGGATCTTGTGGTGTGTCAACCTGCCTGTGGCTCTTTCCCCACCCACAGCCATGCCACGGGGGCAGGGGTCCCACACCGGCCTGGAGTTTTCTCCCCACGCCTTCTGGGGAGTTTTCTTCTGGGCGATCCCATTCCTGCCGCTGGCACAAATATTTCTTCTTTCCCCCCACAGAGGGATCGGCGTTGGTCAAGAGTCCGTGGATGCTGTCATTCTTTGAAGTCTTTATTTACAAGGCCAAAAAACTAAAGAAGAAGCCTTTGCAGGGAGGAGTTTTTAATTTATCGGTTTAGGCATTTGGCAGGGAGGGATATGTCACCAAGTATGCGACAGGCAGTGATAATGCTTGGGAGTTGGCTCTCTCCTTTTACCAGTCCTGGTGCTAGAACTCAGGTCCTCAGGCTTGGTGGCAAGCCTCTCCCCTTGAGCCGTATAACAACCCAAGCCTTTTTGAATCAGGGTCTTGTTATGTATCCTCGACTTGTTGTTGGGATAATCTTTGGTACACTGTGTGAAGTAGCCTCTCTGTCCTTCCTCACCTGCCTAAGGCACCTTCCAATTGGTTTCATAAAGAATTGAACGGCCAATAGCTAGGCAGGAGAGGATAGGCGGGACTTCCGGGAGAGACAGGAGCTCTGGAAAAGAATCTGAGGCCCAGGAGTTTCACCAGCCAGACTCAGAGGAAGTCAGATGTACAGTACCGAGGAGAGGTAATGAGCCATGTGGCAGAATGTAGATTAATATAAACAGATTAATTTAAGTTTTAGGAGCTAGTTGGGAATGAGCCTAAGCTAAGGCCAAGCTTTCATAATTAATAAGGAGTCTCCATGTCATCATTCTGGAGTTAACAGTCCAAAGAGAGACCCATTACACTGGCTAGCCTGGAATTCACTATGTAGAACAAGCTAGCCTCAGACATAAGGAGATCCACCTGCCTCTGCCTCCTGAGTGCTGGGGTTAAAGGCGTGCGCCACCATGCCTTAAATAGTTTTGAGACAGAATCTCATAACACAGGACCTTTTGAGACAGGATTTCTCTGTGTAGCCCTGGCTGTACTAAAACTGACTCTGTTGACCAGGCTGGCCTTGAACTCAGAGACCTGCCTGTGTCTGCCTCCCGAGTGCTGAGATTAAGGTGTGTGCCACCACTGCCCAGCTTTTCTATTTTAATATTTGATTTGTGTAAGTGCACACACGCCTGTGCGGGGGTCAGAGGGCAGCTTCCAGGAGTGGGTTTTCTCCTTCCACCATGTGGGGCCCGAGGATAAAATTCAGGTTATCAGCAGATGCCTTTACCGAGCGATCCCTCCAGCTTCAGCTTTTAACTCTTGAACCTCCTGTCTTTATCCCCCAAGTGTGAGGTTAACAAACAAAAGCCACCAAGACTAGCAAAGGCCATACAGTTGACCTGTGAAGTTTTATTTTTAAATAAAACAATTTTTTTGTTGTTTTTTTTTGAGACAGGGTTTCTCTGTGTAGTTTTGGTGCCTGTCCTGGATCTCGCTCTGTAGCCCAGGCTGGCCTCGAACTCACAGAGATCCACCTGGCTCTGTCTCCCGAGTGCTGGTATTAAAGGTGTGCGCCACTGCCACCCGGCTGAGTAAGACAGTTTTAAAACTGACTTTATTTTTATTTATATGTATGAGTGTGTACCTGCAGATTTTTGGGGGGATGGGAAGAAGGTGCAAGATAGCCTGGAAGTAGGTACAGGTATCTGAGAGCTACTTGATATGGCTGCTGAGAAACTTGAATTCTCCACAAGAGAAGTAAACGCACTTAACAGCTGAGCTATCTCTCCAGCCCCTATTTTTATTTAATTAAAAAAAAACTTTGGATTTATGTATTTTATTTATATAAGTGTTTTTGACCACATATATGTCTGTGTACCACATGCATACCTGGGGAGGTCAGAGAATGACGTTGGACCCCTTGGAATCGAAGTACAGACAGTTGTAAGGCACCAGGTGGGTGCTGGGAATTGACCCTGGGTCCTTTGCAAGAGCAATTAGTGCTCTTAACTGCTGAGCCATATCTCAAGCCCCCTATTTATTTTTTTAGACAGGCTCCTGTTGCCGAGGCTGGCCTTGAACTCAGCATGTGATCCAGGAGATACACGAACTCTGGTCCTTCTGTCAGCATCTCCTAGCTGCTGAGGCTACAACTGTTTGTCAGCAATAGACTGCCTGTGTCTCTTCCCACACACACACACACACAGGGTTTCTCTGTGCAGCTTTGGAGCCTATCCTGGAACTTGCTCTGTAGCAGCCCAGACTGACCTCGAACTCACAGAGATCTGCCTGCCTCTGCCTCCTGAGTGCTGGGTTTAAAGGCTTGCGCCACCACCGGCGGCTGACTGCCTGTGTCTTAACAATTTATTTGTGTGTGTGTGTGTGTGTGTGTGTGTGTGTGTGTGTGTGTGTGTGCATGTGTGCGCGCGTGCCACATGCAAGCTGGAGCCTGTGGAGGCCAGAAGAAAGCTGTGCCCCACCCCCACGAGCTGGAATTTCAGAGTAGCCTCTGAGGCTCTCTCCACCCACTCACTGTACCTATTTCAATGAGGTTCAGTTCCATTTGGAATGGATGGGTCCTCTAGCGGGCTGGCCTCTTTTCTTTGTTTTCTTCCTATTTATTTACTTAACTTATTTTATTTTTTTGAGAAGGGGCAGGGTTTCCCTGTGTAGTCCAGGCTGGCTTTGAACTCCTGACCCTCAGCCTCCTAAGTGCTGGGATGTAAGCCTCTTTCTGCTGTTTCTATTATCTCACACTCCATCACCAGCCCACACTTGCCCGCCACGCTCCACTCAGTATTCATTCAGTCCTCTTCTCCGCTCAAGACCAGAGCTTCCTTTTGGGCTGGATGGACCATCACTGGGAGTCTCAGCAAAGCAGCATTCTTGGGTTCTTCTGTGGAAGCTGGGGTGTTGTGATCTTGGATTACCATATCTGTCCTGTCTTGGCAGAGGTGTGAGATCCCAGCTCAGCCCCTTAGAGGCCTCAGGAGGGATGGGATTTTAGAATATGTTCCAGCAGATTCACAGGTTCACGTAGGGAAGCCGGGATGATGCCTAGAGAGGGGGAAGAGAGATTCAGAGGAGCAAGAGAAATAGAGGCAGGCCACATCTTGAGAATCCATGTTTGAAGCCCTGCAATGTGACCCACACCTGTCATCCCAGCACCCAGGAAGTGGAGGCAGGAGGATCACCAGGAGTTCAGAGCCAGCCTGAGCTGCACACCAAGACCTTAGCTCAAACAACAAGCAAAACCAGGCTGGAGAGATGGGTCACTGGTTAGAAGAACTGGTTGGTCTTGCAGAGGACCCATGTTCAGTTCCCAGCACCCACCGGGCAGCTCACAACTTGTAACTCCAGCTCCAGGGGATCTGATGCCCTCTTCTGGCCTTTTTAAGCACCCAGCCCCTACCCACTGCATACGCATAAACAAAAGAATTTTTGAGAAATGAACAGTTGCATTAATAGAGATGATTGTGTAAAAAAAAAAAAATCTAAGACAGATTGACAGTGAGCCTTTCTGGGGACTTCACATGCTTTAAACACTCCTCATCAAAAACCCCAAGGGACAAAAGTCTCCATGATGGAAACTGTTTCCTATTTTACAAATGAAAATAATCCAGATAAAAAGGCAGTGACTTTCCTGAAGCCATACTGTGGTCCTACAACAGCAATGTGAACTTGGCTCCATGGTCAATTTCTTTTTTTTCTTTTCTTTTCTTTTTTTTTTTTTTTTTAATTTATTTATTTTATGTATATGAGTGCTCTGTCTGCGTGAACAACTTTATGCCAGAAGAGGGCATCAGATCCCACTAGAGATGGTTGTGAGCCACCATGTGGTTGCTGGGAATTGAACTCAGGTCCTCTGGAAGAACTGCCAGTGCTCTTAACCTCTGAGCCATCTCTCCAGCCCCTGTTTTTTTGTTTTTCAAGACAGGATTTCTCTGTGTAGTTCTTTTTTCTTTTATGTATGTGTATGTATGTAAGTATGTATTATGTATTTTTACTTATTTGTTTTGTTTTTCTTTTTTTTCTTTTGGTTTCTCTGTGTAGATCTGTCCTGGATCTTGCTCTGTAGACCAGGCTGGCCTTGAACTCACCTGCCAGAGATCTGCCTGCCTCTGCCTCCCACTGCCCGGCTTGTTTTCTTTTCTTGCTTTTTTTTTTTTTTTCTTTTTTTCTGCCTGCCTCTGACTTCTAAATGCACGACCTCACTCAGATTTCAAATTGTTAATTTTTGTGTGTAGGCATACCTGTGGCCACCCACATCCTAGCACACTCAGGGTCAGAGGACATTTTGCAGAGTCAGTTCTGTCCTTGCACTGTGAGTCCTGGGGATGGAACCCCAGTCACAAGACTTGGTGGCAACTGCCTTCACCCCCTGAGCTTGCTACATCAGTCATCAATTCCTTGATCTGCTCCCCTCCACCAACACACACACTTCATGGTCCCCCTGCCTCCACATCCAGCATGCTGGCATTACAGGTGTGTGCCACCAGACCCCCAGCTCACACAGCTTGATGAATGGCTTATACTCTGTTGGTTACCACGGTAACTATCTTACCCCCCTGTTGCCAGCCTGCCCTGGCTCCACCTAAGCCAGCTGATGAACACACAGCAGAGCCTCTGCACAAACGTCACAGGTGGTTTGTGACCTCTGCCTTTTATTCTGTACCCGAGGCCCTCCTCCTCCAGGAAGCCTTCTCTGATCTCTCCACCCAGCTAAGTGTAAAATGGGATATGCGGCTGATGCCATGCTGGGTCACTGTTGATATATCCCTCCTCAACTCTGGGAGAATATATTTACCTTTCTGAACAGGTGCATGGTTTACCTTAATAAAATTCTAAAGACGGAGCTGAGCAACACAGTACACACCTGCAATCCCAGCACTCTGGAGCACAGACAGGAAGATCTTTACGTGTTCAAGGCCAGCCTGGTCTTGGTCTATATAGTGAGTTCCAGGCCAACCAACCCTACACAGTGAGATCTTGTTTCAAAACTGATTGATAAACCAGGCAGGGGTGGCGCACACCTTTTACCCCAGTACTCAGGAGGCAGAGGCAGGCAGATCTCTGAGTTTGAGGCCAGCCTGGTCTACAGAGTGAGTTACAGGACAGCCAAGGTTACATAGAGAAATCCATTGGTTGGTTAATTAATTAAAGTAAACTAAATAGGGTCAACAAGATGGCTCAGTTTATAAATAAAATAAGAGTATTCCTTTCTTGGAGCCCTTCTTTCTGTTGGGAGTTCTTCCTTGGATATCTTCAGTAGGTCTATATTCACTCTGCTTTAACAACATGTGTATATATACAGCTGGGTGGTGGTGGTGCACACCACCTCAATCTGTTTATCACTCTGAGAAACAGAAGAGGTAAAACTCTGAGTTTGAGGCTAGCCTGGCCTATACAGCAAGTTCCAGGACAGCCAGGACAGCCAGGGCTTCACAGAAAAACCTTGCCCCGGCCCCAACACACATTCTCTCTCTCTCTCTCTCTCTCTCTCTCTCTCTCTCTCTCTCTCTCTCTCACACACACACACACACACACACACACACACACACACTCATGAGACAGTTTTGGAGTGATACAGTCACCCCAGAGTTTACAGACACATTAAATAATTAAACAAGCTAAAATGTACAGTGTGCTTGGAACAGAGCCAGAGAGAGTTCTCCCGGTGCTGAGCTGGGCTGTGTTGGTCAGCTACCTTCCAGATGTTCAGCAGATTCCACAGGAAAGGACAGCCTCCAGTGCAACAGTTTCCCTCCTGTGAAGTCGCTCCCAGGGCTACTGATCTCAGTACAGCCACCCCATTCAGTGTAGCAGCCTCCAGTCCAGCAGCCTGGGGGGCAGACAAAAGCCCAGCTACAATATATACATTGTCTGTTTGTTTTGTTGAAACAAAGTTTCTCCATGTAGCTATGACTGTCCTGGAACTCACTCTGTAGACCAGGTTGGCCTGGAACTCAGTGATTCCCCTGCCTCTGCTTCCCCAGTGATGGGACTAGGCATGTTCCACTACTGCCCAGTTTCTTTATACATTTCTCTGTGATAAAGTTTAATTTATAAATTAGGCACAGTTCAAGAGTTAGGATTTTTGTTTGTTTGGTTGGTTGGTTTTGTTTTGTTTTTTTTTGAGACAGGGTTTCTCTGTGTAGTTCTGGTTGTATTGGAACTCACTTTGTAGACCAGGCTGTCCTGGAACTCACAGAGATCCTCCTGCCTCTGCCTCCTGAGTGCTGGGATTAAAGGTATGTGCCAACACTGCCCAGTTTAAGAGTAAGGCTTTTTAACAATAAAGTACGATTACTCTAATAATATACTGTATTTAAAGTTATTTAAAATTTATAAATTATTTCTTTCTGGAAACATCAAATGTTTCCAGACAGTGGTTGGGCGTTTGTAACTGGGACCACATACACACACACACACACACACACACACACACACACACACACAGAGAGAGAGAGAGAGAGAGAGAGAGAGAGAGAGAGAGAGAGAGAGAGAGAAAGGGGGGACAATGACCAAAAGCAAAAAAACAGAGATTGAGGTGGGGGGCTACTGCAACCTCTGGGCTATCTCAATTTTTTTTAATGTAAATGGGATAAAATGTGCTTTAATCCTAGCACTCAGGAGGCAGAGGCAGGAGGATCTCTATGAGTTTGAAAACCACCCTGGTCTTCATTGCGAGTTGCAGGCAACCACTCAAAACACACAAAACCAACAAAAATTCTGTCCTGAAGAACCGGGGACCTCTCAGTCAGACAGTGGAGACCTCCTCAAGCAGAACTTAATGTTATGTATGCAGTAGGCAGTTCACGATGGTGGGAATTCACCGGGTTCCTCCTCCACGCGTGGGAACAGAATAGTAGGGGCTGGGGGCAGATTCGGGATAATCTCTCTTGGTGTGGTGGAATGGAGTCTGATGGACAAGTGGATTTGGCGAAGCCAAAGAACGAAAAGAGCTCAGGACCAGTCTTGGGACTGAGACCCAAATCCCCAGCCAGTCTTCTTCCACCGACAAGTGACGTTTTGGCTGTAAGGAGCTGCGGGTTAGTGGCGGGGTAAGCGGGGCAGCCAGCGACTTTGGAGACCGAGGACACTTTGCGTTGTTGGCTGAAGTCGCCTGAGACTCTGCTGGAGCACAGGGTGGTGTGCCACAGAGTTGGGGTAGACAGCGGAGCCGAGGGGAGAGTAGACCCGAGGGGGTCAGAGGTTCCCCAGGATGAGCTGGAGTCGGGGTAGTGCATTGGGTGGCTCTGGGGACCGAGGACCCCTATGCGCTGTGCACTGCTGTCCCCGAGGCGCCTGCTGAAGTGCAGGGTGGGGAGCCGTGGAGTTGAGGTGAGAAACGGAGGAGTAAAGAGCTTCTAGGTGCCGGGGTCCTGCAGGAGCTGGATCGCAGGGTGAGCCCACCCCATGACCCCATCCCTCCGCAGACAGACTCCGCCCCCTCCTGCAGCCGCCAATGGCCGTGCGCCGTGGCCTCCCCGCTGCCCGGGAGGCGGAGCGCGGCTGGAGGAGGCGGAGCAGGGCTGGGGTCGCGGGGACCGGAGCCCGGGAGGCGGGACCGGAGCCAGGGGCGGAGCTTCGGGACCAGCGGGGCTGCGCACCGGGACCCCCGGGGACGGAGACGCGCGCCCCTCTCCAAGCCCACGTCGCCTCGCAGCGTCCCCGCGGGGCGGAGCCGGCCGCCCGGAGTCACTAGGCGTTTCCAAAGTTTGGATTCACCACCCCGGGAGGAGTCTCCGGGCCGCGGTCCCTCCGGGCACCGGGCGCCAGCCGCCTCCCAGGCCGGGACCCGCGTCTACCATCGCTCGGTGTCGGAGCCGCAAGTCGGGAGGCGCCGCGGGCCTGCGCACGCGCCGCCGCCCTCGCCATCCTCCCCGCGGTGCTCCAGCTCTCCCCCCCCGCTCCACTCCCGCCCCCCAAGTTCACGAGTTACGCGAGTGGACGGACGGCGCGGGGCCCGCGCGGGGCCATGGAGGAGCCGCTAGGGTCGCCGCCCGCCGCCCTGTCGGCGCTGGAGAAGAACGTGGCGGAGCTGACCGTCATGGACGTGTACGACATCGCGTCGCTCGTGGGCCACGAGTTCGAGAGGGTCATCGACCAGCACGGCTGCGAGGCCATCGCGCGTCTCATGCCCAAGGTCGTGAGGGTCCTGGAGATCCTCGAGGTGCTGGTTAGCCGGCACCACGTCGCTCCCGAGCTGGACGAGCTGCGCCTGGAGCTGGACCGGCTGCGCGTGGAGAGGATGGACCGCATCGAGAAGGAGCGCAAGCATCAGAAGGTGGGCGGAGGCCTCAGTCTGCCGGTCCGGGCAAGGGGCTCCGACTCCGTGGGTGCCATTCGGTTCTGGGCAGCCGCTAGTTTCCTTGTGGATGAGTGTACACAGTGCCTAGAGTACAAGAGAATGTTCAAGGGGTTGGGAGGGAGGGAGGGAGGCCCTGGTCGTCTTGGCCCGGCTTGGAGCAATGAGTCGCTGCTGTGTGACCTTGGGTAACTTGCTGAGGCTCTCTGAGCTTTGTCTCCTGGTCTGCCCGATGGTGATTACAGTTGAACCCACCTACAAGGATCAAATGGGATGCAGTGGGCACAGTACTTAGTATTATTTTATTCCAGGAAGGAAGTCAGTCCCCGCCCACCCTTCTTTGTGACCAAGGTGTGACACCAGATGTCCAGCCCTTCCTTTTCATCCTATCTGAAGTCCCTCAGAGCCCTCAGAGTGAGCGCCGGTCCTGAGCCCCCATCCCGGGCTTCGTAGTAGCAACTTTCTTCCCAGGGTCCCCCCAGTTTATTCGCCTGCACCCTGAGGTGCCTTCCGGGCCTTGGGCTTGCCTTTGGTTCTTTTAAAACTATAAAGTGAGGATATTCTTCATTTTATGGATGAGGAAGCAGAGGGTCCGAATGCAAAGGGATTTACCCCAGGTTCCCGACTGGAGTCTCTGCCCTCGGGAGATACTTCCGGGGTCTCTTCCCCAGTCTGTTTGAATCGGGGCACTGAATCGCTCCAAGTGGCTTTCAAGCCCATCCTCTTCCCCCAGGAGCTGTCATCTGCCTTTGGGAGACCAGACCAGACCAGACTAGGTGCCCGGGGTAGGGAAGTGGGAGACGTGTGGTTTCCTGCCCAAACCTCAGCCTGGGCCGCTTTTGACGGACCTCTTCCGACCGGGGATGGGAGGAAACTCCTTTTCTCTGGATGCTGGAACCTGTTCTGGCTTGCTGTGTGGCCTCAGGAAGTTTGGTTGGCCTCTCTGAAACTCCCTGGCAGGCCAGCCTCTATTGTACTGTTGGGATGGATCTTAAGTTTTCTGAGTCAACGGTCAAAACTAGGTGTTCGGCCTCCTCACCGGAGGACAGACCATGGGTGTGTGTGTGTGTGTGTGTGTGTGTGTGTGTGCATCATGGTCAGGGCTGGCTGTGTTTATCCCTCCCGCCCCCCTTGTCCTGTGCCCTGGGGTCAGGAAGGAAACTGTGCTCTTCAAAGCCAGCTGCATTTCCAGGGTCACACTTGGAGACGGAAAGTGCCTCCCTCGGTCCTGTAATTAATTTCCAGAATCTCAGGATCGCTGGGACACTGGAGCCAGACAGCCTGGTTTCCAACCCCACGAGTTGGCAGGCTGTGGGCTCTGGGACAGATCGCTCTCCTCTCTGTGTCACGGTGTCCTCTGCCATCCCGAGACAATCTCCGTCCCCACCCTAGAGGACAGTGATGAGCCTTGGGGGCAGCCAGTGGACACAAAGGGCACAGGCCAGAGCCTGGGGCTGGCAAGATGGTCCAGTGGGTAAAGGCGTTTGTCACTAGAGGCCCAAGGCTCAGAGGTTTTCTGGGGAGACACACTGAGATGCCCCCCCAGGGGTTATTAATGCCCCCCACCGAGGCATTTCTACTTCCCCCCTGGAGGTCCTTGCCGTCCAGCTGAATCCTGACTATGGGCTCAGGCCGGGTGTCTGCCAGGGGTTCCCGCTGGCACTTTTTTGTGTCCCCTCCCAATGCTTTCTTTCTGCTGTGCCTGGGCTGGGCCATCACAGGTCACCAGAGTCAGCTGGAGTTCTCAGCTGCACTTGTTGCTTCAGAATATCACCAGCTGCAGCCAGGAAGTCCGCACCAGCGCTTGTTTGTAAACAGCTAGAGTGGAATCCCTCCTCCCCAGCCCGGGCCTCTTTGTGTGGCTTGTACATAGGGTCAGAACAGGCCCGTCGTCCTCCGATCTCTTCTACAACCAGAGGCAGCTTCGAGCTACTTTTTTTTTTTTTCCCCTCCCACAAAAACCTCAGCAGCCCTTGATCTGTCTCCCGGCCCTCCATCTCCCCCACCCCTTCCTTCTCTCTCTGTAAACATGGCTTCAGAAATGGCTGCGTCCTACCCTTCCACAGACACATAGACTTACCCCACTGGGCTCATGGCTCCACCCCAGGCCACGGACCCCTGGTTCTGCCTGATTAGGCAGTGCACAGCCCTATTGGGCATGCCATGGTGCTCCAAGTGCTCTCCCGGGCGATGTGGGCAGTACCAAGCAGAGGGAAGCCGAGTCGGGTCCTCAAGTCAGGCAGCAGGTGGGTGACGGAATCCGGAGAGTAGGGGCTGTGTGGGTATGCCTGTACGGAACACACCGTCTGTGGTGTTCACTCAGCAATTACATGGATAGAGTTGTGAAGCCGGGATTCATGCTACGCAAGCCCCCTACACTCCACACCCCCAAATCCCAAATGTTCTTCCCTGTTCCAGGCACCGTTCTGGGGACTGGGGGATGCAAGTGACGGTCTGGCCCCTGTTGGGCCTGCAGTCCTAGGGCCGTGCCATTCCATAGCAACAGGAAGTACATGCTAGGAGGAAACATGGGAAGTTGATTTTCACACAGAGAGTGGAAACCAGTGTGTCCATGACGCTTTCGTTCTCGCCTGCGGATTCAGCATACAAATTGCTGTTTTCTCGTTTCTCTGTGGTGCTGCAGGTGAAATCCAGGGGAAAACTCAAGCGTGCTAGGCAGGTGCTCCTCTACCGCTCCCTGGTATAAGTTGAGTACTTATTGTTTAACTTTAATTTATATATATATATAAGTGTTTTGCCTGCATGTATGTCTGTGGGCCACATGCTTCATGCCCACAACGGCCAGAAGAAGGTGAGTTATAGATGGTTGGGAGCCACCATGTGGGTGCTGGGAATTGAATCCAGGTCCTCTGGAAGAGCAGCCAGTGCTCTTGACTGCAGGACCATCTCTCAGGACCCAATAATTTTTTTTTTTAATATTTTTTAACCTTTTTTTTTTTTTTTTGCTTGAAACAGGGTTTCTCTGTGAGGTCCTGGCTGGCCTGGAACCCTCTCTGTGGACCAGGCTGGAGTTGAACTCAACAGAGAGCCACCTGCCTCTGCCTCCCTAGGGTTAAAGGCGTGCATCGCCATGCCTAGCCTGCATACAGTTTTCATTTATTTATTTTTGAGACAGGGTCTAATGTATCCCAGGCCAGCCTAGAACTTGTTATACATCAGAGGATGACCTTGACCCTCCGATCCTCCTGCCTCTTACCTCCCTGGTGCTGGAAATATGGGTGTGAGCCACTGGGCCTGGGAACGGAACCAAGGCTTTGTGCATGCCGGGCAGGCACCCTACCTACTGAGCCACAGCCCCGGGCTCTGTCCCGTGTTTTTTTTTTTTTTTTTTTTTTTTTTAATAAGTTAAAAACATTTTATTACATTTATTTATTTTTTTATTTATTTATGGCCAGGAGCTACACACGTGGAAGTCAGAGGACAAGCCACAGGAGTCACTGTGTCCTTCTACCGTACGGGTCCCTGGTCAAGTCAGGCCCGATGAGAGTGGGCCCCCATTCTTCTCGTAACCTCCCATTTGGAGTCCAGCATGGTATTTCACCCGTGCTAGCGTGAGTGCGTATATTTAAAAACAAGCAGGGATGTCCACTTATGGTTAAGTGCCGTGACGGAAGTGAAGCAGGGAGCTGGGAGGGAGGCTGTCGAGGAGGGAGGGAGGCTGTCAGGGAAGTTCCTGATGAGGCATTGCCTGCCTTGAGGACTGGGTGAAGTGAGGAGCCAGCCACGGAGAGGTCTTTCAGGGAGGCCCATACCCACAAGCAGACGCACACACACTTACACATAATTAAAAATAAATCTTAAAAACAAAAAACAAAACAAGGGCGGTGGTGGCGCACGCCTTTAATTCCAGCACTCGGGAGGCAGAGGCAGCCGGATCTCTGTGAGTTCGAGGCCAGCCTGGTCTACAGAGTGAGTTCCAGGACAGGCACAAAGCTACACAGAGAAACTCTGTCTTGAAAAATCAAAAAGAAAAAGAAAAGGACTGGGCTGTAACCAGTTGGTAAAGTGCTTACCTAGCATCCATGAGGGCCTGGGTTCGAATCCCAGCACTGTAGAAACTGGACATGGTAAGCATGCCTGTAATCCTAACACAGCCTAGAATCCCCCAGTGAGGGGCTGGGGTGTGGCTCAGTGGTAGAGCACCTGCCTAGAATCCCCCAGTGAGGGGCTGGGGTGTGGCTCAGTGGTAGAGCCCCTGCCTAGAATCCCCTAGTGAAGGGCTGGGAGTATGGCTCAGTGGTAGAGCACCTGCCTAGAATCCCCCAGTGAGGGGCTGGGGGTGTGTGGCTCAGTGGTAGAGCCCCTGCCTAGAATCCCCCAGTGAGGGGCTGTGGCTGCCGTTCAGCTGGAGAATACTTGTCTAACATGTGTGAGGCCCTGGGTTCCACTCCCAGCACCTCAAACAAGCAAGCTTGTGTTGACAGGATGCAAGTTGCTGTCTTCAGCTTGACTGGTAGCCAAGCCCACCCCCATGGTGCGCCCCAGCCTCCTTCACGCCTCTGAGTGGTTCCTTCCGTATTCGCGGTTGTACCGCCGAGAATGTTTGCATTGCCTCTGAAGAGGAACCTGTGTGCACTAACCATCACACCCAGTGCCTCTCAGAGCTCTGGCCAGAAGCCCCAGGTCACCTCTGCCACTGTGGATGTGCCCGTTGGGACATTTCATAGAACTGGCATTGCCACTGTGTGACTTTTTTTTTTTTTTTTAACCTGGTTTCTCTTCTTAGCAGGGGATCGTGTTAGCAACATTCATTCTTTTTTTTTTTTTTTTGGTTTTTTGAGACAGGGTTTCTCTGTGTAGCTTTGCGCCTTTCCTGGAGCTCACTTGGTAGCCCAGGCTGGCCTCGAACTCACAGAGATCCGCCTGGCTCTGCCTCCCGAGTGCTGGGATTAAAGGCGTGCGCCACCAATGCCCGGCCATTCATTCTTTTTTATGTCCAGATGATAGCCCATTGTCGGGATAGGTCGGTTTGATTTGTGCCTCCTGGGCTGGTGGACTCTGGCTGGGCTTTTTTTCTGCTGTGAGCAACATTGCTGTAGACCAGTAGTTCTCAACCTGTGGGTCATGACCCCTTCGGGGGGAATCAAAAGACCCTTTCACAGGGGTTGCCTGAGACCATCAGAAAACACAGATATTTATGTTACGATTCATAACAGTAGCAAAATTACAGTTATAAAGTAGCCATGAAAATAATGTTATGGTTGGGGTCAGGGGTCACCACACCATGAAGGACTATATTAAAGGATCTGGGTGTTAGGAAGGTTGAGAACCATTCCTATAGACCTCTGAATGTATACATGATTATGTAGGTGTGGGCCTGTCTTTTCTTTCCTGGGTCTTCTTTATTTTTTTTGGTGGGGGAGGAGTGGCCCAGGCTAGCCTCTAACTCACCCCAAGTCTCAGCTTCTTCTTCCTTCTCCTCTTCCTCTTTTTCTTTTTCCCAAGACAGGGTTTCTCTGTGTAGTCCTAGTTATCTTGGAACTTGCTCTGTAGACCAGGCTGGCCTCGAACTCACAGAGATCTGCCTGGCTCTGCCTCCCGAGTGCTGGGATTAAAGGCGTGCGCCACCACTGCTCAGATCTTATTTTTATTCTTTTTAATAATGTGTGGGTTTGTGTGTCTATGTATGGGTGTGAACATGTGACTGAAGGTTTTGGGAACGAAACTCGCATCCTCTGTTGGAGCAGTTCACTCTCTTAACCTCTGGGTCACTGCCCCCATCTTTTCGAAATTGCATAGATTTTTTTCTGAGATGTTCTTATAGTCTAGGTTAACCTCTTAACTTGAAGACATCCTCCTGCCTCAACTTCAGCCTCCACACACAACTGGTAATGGACTAATCCCACTAATTCTCTTACATGTCTTTCAAAGCTGAAAGTTCTTGGTTCCCTCGCTGAGGGAAACTGAGGCTCTGAGTGGTTATTGCAAGCTGCTCAGGCTGCCTTGAGTAGATGTCTTTCCCAGAGAGCAGAGGAACCCTGGCCCTGTGGCCCTGTCACAGGAAGGACCTCTGCAGCCTCTTTGTGCCTTGAAGAGGTGACTGGGCAATGTTGGGACTCCGTAGCCAGGGATGGCTTATCCACACAGACGGAGAACACAGGTGTGGCCCGGACATGGACCGCGTCACTGTGGTGCACACATCAGCAGAAGAGGCCCTATGTGGCTCTGTGTGCCGCCTGCCGGAGACCCGCTCTGCTGCTCTTGGGAAAAGTGGATGGCTCCAAGTCCCAGAAACAGAGCAGTTCTCGGATGGGCAGGTGAGATCCTAGGTGGCTCTGATCCGGCTCTGATCCGGCTCTGACCCTTGCTGTCCCCCCGCTACAGGAGCTGGAGCTGGTGGAGGATGTGTGGCGGGGCGAGGCGCAGGACCTCCTGTCCCAGATCGCCCAGCTGCAGGAGGAGAATAAGCAACTGATGTCCAACCTCAACCACAAAGACGTGGGCTTCTCTGAGGAGGAGTTCCAGAAGCAGGAAGGTGAGGCACCCCGTCCCGGCGATCCCCATGACCACTCAGGCTGCTGCCTCTGTTCTGGAGCCTTGAGCGTCCGCGGGCAGGGTGGGAATCACGTGTTGACTCTCAGATTACAGATGCGGATGTGGATGTCCAGATTACAGATGTGGATATGAACTCAGTTAGCTCACAGGTGATGTGAACTCAGTTAGCTGTCACGGTTTCCTGCCCCCTCCTACATGGTTCCTCAGGGCCCTGGGACACATTGAACAAGCCAGACCCTGGCCACTGGAAACTTTGAGCATATCGGGAAAGGCGGCAAATATGTCAACACTCCACAGATGTCTTGTTTTGATGGATGGCAGCTGACACGATGTGAGAGCTGAGATGGGGGGATGGGGTAGCAACGTGCGGCTGCTTTAGCTCATCCAGTCACTGGGATGGTCACAGTTCAGCCCTAACGAAGTGGTACACGGGGTCACCTTAGTGCCGTGTGCAGGTGAGGTGGTCCATGCCAAGGCCCCGGGGTAGGAGTGTTTGAGGGAAACCTAGAAGGCCAGGGTAAGAGAAGATGGTGGAGGCTGAGGGTGGCTGGCTGGAGGGGTCCAAGGTTGGGATTGTTCTCTGTGTTTAGAGACTGTAGGCTGTGGTCACAGGACAGGGTGACTAGCAGGCAAGTGAGGACAGCAATTCTGATTTGATTGGCACTGGAGGCCATCAATTGCCACCCGTCCCATAAACCTACCTGGGACCTTCATGCCTGACTCTCTCCTGGGGTGCCACCACTGCCCGCCTTGTTCTGTTTTTGAGACAGGGTCTCACTGTGTAGCTCCGGCTTTCCTGGAACGTGCTG